TCTTAACAATAAAAATAGAAGAAAGAGATGATCTCATGGCTCATGTCAACAAGATAAAAGTACTTGCAAATCAACTAACAATTGTTGATAAATTAGTTGATGATAAGAATATTGTATTGACATTGATCATGAGCCTTCTTGAATCCTATAACTACCTCATTGTAGCATTGGAGTCTATCAACATGAAAAAACTTACTATGAATTATGTCACATCAAAGCTTATATATGAAGTAATTAAAAAAAAAATTAAAGTGATAATTTGGCTTTTTTTTCATGACAAGATAAAAATAGCTATTTTTATCATTATAATGATTGAAAAAGAAATATTAAAAATTACTATGTTTATAAAAAATCAAGCCACTTTACTAAAAATTACTACAAAGCTAGTAGAAAAACAAAGAGAATGCAAACAATGCTTGTGATAACTTTAATGGAGATAACTATTCTTTCATGTTAAGTAAAAGAAATTCTATAGTTGCTATGTCTAAGTGGAATATAGATTTGGGTACTACTAAGCATATGATACTATATAAATATTCATTTGATACTTATGAAGAAATTCCAGCAACAAAAGTTTGGTTGGGAAATAATGGCATAGAATAAAGCATTGAAATTGGATCCATTGTTGTAGAAATTGTTGTGAAGAATCAAATCAAGAGAATCAGGTTGAATGAGGTCTTGCATGTACCAAAGATGAAAAAGAACCTCGTTTCAATGAACAAACTTATATCATATAGTTGTAAGGTTTAATTTGATAAGAATATATGTTTTGTGAAGATATTGGATGGACAATATATTGCCAAAGGCCTTAGCAATGGCAACCTCTACTTTATCAATTAAAAGAAGATGAATGAAGTAGAAGTGGTAGCATTTGTTGATTTTCCACAAGATAAAGATAAATTTGGAATTTGGCATCAATGACTTTATTATTTAAATGCCAAAAGCATGGAAGAGCTCCAATCCATCATAAGTGGCTCGGATCTTGGTTAATTCAGCCACAATGCCTTGACACTTGCTTTTTAAGAATATATACAAGAAAAACAACAAAAGGTTTCATTTCCAAGAAGAGTTGCAACACATGCAAGTAAATTATTAGAGATTATATATTTTGATATTTGTGGACCAATGAAGATACCATCAATTAGAGGAACAAGATATTTTGTGATATTTATTAATGATTTTTTTAAAAAATATGGATTTACATTATTAAAGCAAAGAGTGAATGTTTCTTAAGTTTTAAGGAGTTTAAGGCTCTTGTAGAAAAACAATGTGAGTGTAAGCTCAAAGTATTATACACATATAATGGAAGTGAGTACATGTTAAAATATTTTGATGAATTCTTAAAGATTCAAGGTGTTGCAAGACAATCCTCTATTTCTTACAATCCACAACAAAATAGAATTGTTGAAAGATTAAATCACACCATTGTGGAGATAGCAAGGAGTATACTTCATGCATAAAATCTTGGGCATGAATATTTGGTGGAAATAGTGATAAATACAATATATACAAGTAATAGGTGTCTAACAAGTGCACTCACATCAATGACTCTACAAGAAATTTGGAATAGCAAGAAACTTTATTTTTCATACATGAAGATTTTTGGATGCATTGCATATGCAAAGGTATCAGATTATATGAAGTTCAAACTTTATACAAAAGATACAAAATGTGTGTTTGTTAAATATTGAGAAGGTACTAAGGCATATAGGCTTATGTATTTAGAAACAAAGAAGATCATCAAGAGCTTTAATGTAGACTTTTTGGAGCATAAGAGTACTTATAAGCACTTGGAGATGTATCCAAGTAAGAATAATGGTATATTTGTAGATACATCTTCAATTTTACCAAAGAAAGAAAAAGAAAAAGATGATATTAATGATGATAGAAATTCAAATCAAGATAATGAGCTAAAGAAGATAAAACATAGTCTACCTATAATTATCAAAACTAGTAATGAAAACAATGAGGATGTTGAAGATGATGATGATGATGAAGAGTACTAATTTTTGAATATGAAGAAATAAGTTTTTAAGAAAAAAGAAGCTTATAAAAAACCTTGGAGTGAAAAAAGATGAAGTTTCATGAAATGAAAGGAGATTACTTTTAAGAAATAGAAAACAACTTGGTACATGGTGGAAGAATCACATCTTTATTCAAATAAATAAAGAATATATTAATGTTACATTCTTTATTGAGTCATTAAGTTTGTGTGTTGCAATAAAGTCCACAAATGCTACAAAGTAGGAGAATGCCATGGAAGAAGAATACAAATCATTCATGGAGAATAGAATATGGAAATTGATTCAACTTCTATCAAATTGATCTTCAATTGGTTGTAAGTGGGTGTTTAGAACCAAAAGAGATATAATGGGTAATGTTATGAGATATAAGTCTAGATTAATTGCTAAAGGCTATTCACAAGTTTTTAGTATAGATTACAATGAGATATTTGCTCTCATGGCCAAATTCACCAATATTAGAACCATTGTTGCAATTAGAGGAACAATGGACTTGGAGGTACATCAAATAGATATAAAAAAAGCTTTTTTAATTAAAAATCTAAAAAAAGACATCTATATGGAATAACCTCAAGGATTTGTAAAAAAAGATAAACAACATCTTATTTGTAGGTTGAAGAAAGCCTTATTTGGCTCAAGCAATCTTTAAAGATATGGTTCTAATGCATTCATACATTCTTTGTGAATGAAGGATTTGGAAAGAATACATCTAATCATTCCTTGTATATAATGCAATCAAGTGAGTTCATATTCATTGCCATCCTCTATATTGATGATTTGATCATCTTAACTAATATTATGAAGATAATGAATTTCTTGAAGGCAAATTTAGAAAAGAAGTATGAAATAAGTGATTTGAAAGAGCTTCACTATTATTTAGAAGTGGAGTTTGTGAGAGATTATGCTAAGAAGACCATTACAATGAGCCAAAGTAAATACATTAAAGAAGTGTTGAAATAATTCAACATGGAAGAATATAAGCCTATTAGAATATCTTTGGAGGCCAATTTGAAGTTGATGAAGGTCACAGATGAAGAGTTGCTGAAGTTGAAGGTTAAATGTAAGGTATTCTATATAAGACAATAGTGAATTCACTTATATATGCAATGGTTGATAAAAAAGTGGATCTTATATATGAGGTGAGTGTTGTGAGCCAATACATGTCAAACATTGGACCAATCAATTGGAAAACCATGAAAAGCATTATGAAGTACTTAAAAGACACTTTGTATTTCATTGTGCCTTATAGGTGATAACATTAATTTGCATGGTTGTTTTGATGCATATTGGGCTGGAGATACAAATGATAGAAGATCAATAATAGGATATGTATTCTTTATTAGAGTAGGAGCTATTTTGTGAAATTCTAAGAGACAATCAATAATGGAGGTCGAATATATGGCAGCAAGCCATAGTACAATGAAGGCAATATGGTTAAAACAACTTTTGGATGACATTGGAGTATTGCAAATGAAAGCAACTCCAATAGAGTGTGATAATCAAGGATGTCTTGTATTTGTAAAGAATTAAAAGCATCATTCAAGGACCAAACATATTGACATTCAATATCACTTCATAAGAGAGAAGATTGAATTAAAAGTGATTGATATGAAGTATTATGGGACGAAAGACATACTTGCTAATTTATTGACAAAGGTACTAATCTAGGATGAATATCACATATTGACAAAGGCATTAGGATTGAAAACCTTTGACCAATAGCAAAGTAGGAGTGTTAAAGTATATAAGTAAATATAGACGTAAAATATAGACATTATAGAAAATATTATTTTAAGTAAGTTTCTATTCATTAAAAGATTGATCCTTTGTATATAAGAAGGCCAAAAATTAAATATATGAACAAGCTAAAGATCTTAAGAATATAAAGAATATGCTAAAGATATATTTTTATAGTAGATAAAATAACAATAGATAGTTTTGATAGAATATTGGATGGATGTATCTATCAAAGGATGGAAGTTATCCATTAAGGTAGGAGCCACTACCTATAAGTAACGAGTGTTGGAAGTGAGAGATATTTTACTTCATACTCTCTTTATGAGCAACCTTGCTAATACTAAGTATTGTAATTTCATAGTGCTTATTCTTCAATAATATCCACCTATATGAAAATGCATATATTCATGCAATACATAATAATTCTACAAACAACCATTGTAAATAATTTCAATGGTGAAAATGCTTATGAATAATATTATCATTCAGTTGTAATATTTTATTTTAAAAAATAAATTATGAAGGACTCAAGACATACTCCACACAATACATGTTCACGTATTACATACGGAAACACTAAGAGCGGATGAAGTTATTTTCAAAGCACCAAACCAGTCACATTCATCCCCAAGTACCCTTCCCTTGATACGAGGTGTCAAAAGGTTAGGCTTAGGTGTACAAACGACATGAGAGGTGAGGTTTGTTGGAAAACGAGGTGTCGAAAGGGATTTCGCGGCCCAAAAGCAAGTGAGCGAGCGGATCGGGACGTGGATCTACGCGACACAAAGAGCATGAACATGGGGGCCCTGACACGAGACCCTTTTCACACGGAGGGGCCCTTGACGGGGCTCTGTGTGAAAAGGCCCAATCATCACCCTCACGGGGCGCCAGGGGACGGAAAAAGGGTCCGCCTGGGGAAACGGGCCGCGGCCACTGCATGGACGCTGGGATTGCACCCAATCCCGCGATGGGGAAAGAGGGCCGTGGCGGTGGGGTTTCAGGCAATTGGGCACGAGGCTGGTTATCTTACGCTTCCTCCCTCCGTTCCCAGACTTTGGATCAGCGGCTAGGATTGAATCAGATGACTATCGCGATTCGACGGTCCACGATGGCGGAGCCAGTTAGTTAGGGGTGGGAAGCCGCGGGGCAACTTTTCGACCGAGGCTGACTTGTGGTCGTGGTCGTCGTTGAGAAGGCGGGCGCGGGGGGACACTGTTCCCATCGCCCCCTTTCGGCCATTCCGCAGCTCATTCCCACGAATGAGAGCCATTTTATAACCTGTTTGGGAGTTGCTTTTTCTATTCCGTTCCGTGGGCCTGCTTGCGTAATCCTTTGCCTGTGAGCACTTTTGTTAATCCGGTTACTGCTGCGGTTGTTTTCCGAGGAGGCGAGTTGTGGAGATTAGGTTCTGATTTGATGCTTCTGGATTGCTTAGGGAGGGTTACAGTGGTGGATTTCTCTTCGTCTGGTGATGAGAATGTGGTGAGTGGCATTGGCTGTGGAGGAGATGTGTGTGTATATTGTAAGAGCGAGCAGGTGTAGGTAGTGGTGGTGGTTGTTAGATAGGCTTCTTGTCTAACTCCGGCGGGAATGAAAACCAATGATCTCACGTAAGAAGTAAATTCCTCTTCTAGCTCAAGGATGCTTTCATTTGAAAGTATGGTGTTCGGTGCACATGTTTGAGTTCGAGCACTGCATTCACCTGGCTCTGTGGTTTGCAGGTCTTGGTTCGGTTCGAATGTATTACACAGATCCAAAGTGCCATTGTAATATGCGGATGGAGAGTGAGCAATTGGAAGACTCTGCAGCGGTATCATAAAGATCTGAGATTGCGTGAGAATGTGGTTAGGGTTCATTGATCTTCTGGAGTAGCGTGGCCAAACCTAGCGTGGGACTTAAAGTTTACGAAGCTATGAGGTGTACAATGCTTCGCAAGATCATGTCCAGCTGCGTAGCATGTTCGCAGAATGGATAATCTCCCGTGATTATAATCATTAAGCCGTAGTGATTTCTTGCACAAATACGGCTTCTGACTGCGTGAGCGCACAGTGACGCTCTAGCTATTCGACGGACCAGACTGAAATGTTGATAAAATTAGACTGTAATAGGTTACCAGCTGCTCTGCAGTGGAGTCTCTAGTGAAATTGCGTATTTTGTGCGGATTGCGGGAGAGAAACTTCCCTGAGAAGCAGAGGTATTTTCAAGAAACTTTTATGGTCTGCAACTGCCCTACACATTTGTTTCGAAAGTTTGAAGTAGTACAAGCCCTATATTTATCAATATGAACACAGTTGACGAGCAGTCGTACCGGATTGACAAGATCATGAAGCGAGGGGTAGGAAGCGGAAGCAGGGAAAACTTATTGAGTAAGGCATTTGCAGTAGAACAAGTCGCTGTACCTGTTCATGACTCTCCTCCTTCGAGTTCAAACGAGGTGAAATTGACCTGCCCTCCTCGTTTGCGGTTGTGGCGCGGATTTGAAGAATTGACAACAAGACATTTTATTATTTCTATCGTTTGTCTTCTCTCCATATTTGCGCTTTCAGGTTCTTTCATGTTCACAAATTCAGTGAGATACTCAACCAAGTTGTTCGGAGGAAGCTATATTGATTATCGCCCGCAACTCAGTCTGTCCGACCAGAATTCGTGGCCATTCAAAAGTGCATGGGAAAGATCTGGATTAGTGGACGACGAAGATGAAGGTTCTGGTAAGGCTAACTTAGGTTCCTCGAGGTCTGGCTTGGACAATGAGCAAAATACCAATGCTGGGGTTGGTGCTGGTCGAGAGGGGTATGCTGGTGGTGGAGGTGGAACGGCACCTCCCGGATGCACCGAGAGAAGCGCAAAGCTAAAGCTTTTTATGTACGATCTTCCTCCAGAGTTCCATTATAGCATGCTCGTAGAGCAGGCTTACACTGGCGGACAAATTTGGCCGAAAAATATTTCAGATATTCCACCTTATCCCGGGGGTCTGTACCAGCAGCACAGCCCCGAGTACTGGCTTACGAACGACTTACTCACGTCAAATATGGCTGGACGGCAGTCTGCTTGTACAGCATTCCGAGTAAATGATTGGAGAGCGGCAGATCTTATGTTTGTTCCTTTTTTTGCATCGTTGGCCTACAACAGGTACACCAAGTCTGAACACAAAGTGGGCGGAGAGCTTGACTTAGTTGGTGATAAGAATCAGAAACTTCAAGAAAAACTGTTGAAGTTTCTGGAGCAGCAGCCAGCATGGCAAGCTTCTGGGGGATCTGACCACATCGTTGTTATTCATCATCCAAACAGCTTTCATGCGATGAGAAACTTTTTCAGTAAAGCCATATTTATAGTAGCAGATTTTGGTCGCTACCCCTCCGAAGTAGCCAATTTGAGGAAGGATGTCGTGGCTCCATACAAACACGTAATCCCTTCGTTTGTTGACGATTCGACTCCATTCGAAGAACGCGAGATTCTTCTTTTTTTCCAGGGTACAATCGTCAGAAAGCAGGTTGGTTTCTCAATCCTACATACATTTATATCATGCTTGACACCTTTCCCTGGCTTATATATATATACACCCTTGGACTAAATTTTATTTCTAGAACCGTATGGTTTGTTTTATATCCCTGGAGGCGTATGCATGCAAATTTTTAGAGCGAGTCTGGCACCAACTGTCCGATTTCTTGACGACTAATGCAGTATTGAGTGGTAGGTGTTGATGCAGCGAGTACATGGGTAAATAGGATTAACAATTATGCTGCTCAATATCGTCCGTTCAGATGGATGGTCTCCACTTCCTTCTTTTGATACTTCAGGGTAGTAAAGTGCACGAGGACTGATGTTGTATGTGCTTTCGATTTTGATCTCTTGCTGACCCAATGTATTCCATCCAATTGTTTAGGGTGGCGTCATACGACAGCAGCTCTACGAGATGCTTAAAAATGAAAAAGGAGTACATTTCGAAGAAGGCTCTGCTGGTAGTGCTGGAATCCATAGTGCCACTACAGGCATGCGGAGATCCAAGTGTTGTCTCAATATTGCCGGTGATACTCCTTCCTCTAATCGCTTATTTGATGCAATCGCAAGCCATTGTGTTCCTGTCATCATCAGTGACGAAATCGAACTACCATTTGAAGATGAATTGGATTATTCTGGATTCTCTATCTTCATCAACTCAACAGATGCTGTTCAAGAGAAATTTGTGATCAATCTGATAAGGAGTGTTAGTAGAAAGGAATGGATGAGGCTTTGGAAGAGGTTGAAAGAAGTGTCTCTGCATTTTGAATATCAGCATCCTACGAAACCTTATGATGCTGTCAATATGGTATGGAGAGCTGTTGCCCACAAAGTGCCTGGAGTGAAATTACTACTTCACAAGCAACAGCATTTCTCCAGGTCTCACCAAAGTTGAACATGAAAAGAGGAGTCGATTCAAGACGCTGAGCACCAAGCCAACTTGGTGTACGGAAAGGAACTTTAAAGAACTGTTTCGGCTATTGCCATCACAGTTTTTTTTCTTTTCTTTTCTTTTCTTTCAAGGAGCTGAATTTCACCTAGGTTTCTTGCATGTTCCCCTTGGAGGTGAGAAAATAAATCTATTTATTGTCAAATTCATTATATATATGTATGTACGTGTGTGCGCGTGTGTGTTTTTTTCGAAAAAGCTTTTTCTCTATCGTTGGATTCTTTTCCTTATGCACTTTGCAAGCAATACTCATTTAGTTTGCGTAGGAGTAATTAGTTAATCTGTCGTTGGAGTCTCTAGCTTGATATTGTTATCAATTTTTTTCTGCTCATGCGCCTTTAGTGATATGCTAGAGGGATGTTGGCTTTTTCCAATTCGATGATAGTTTGTTAAAGTGCCATGCATGTTCTTCTTTGTGAGAAAGTTGGTTGGAAATAAAGTACACCATTAACCCAAGTTTTTGCTGTGGCTGATTCAGGTGTATTGAGATATTTGAAATCCACGAATGTATGATAAATTTATAGACGAGACCGCATGGAGTATCAATCGATAGAAAAGGCAGAGATTGGCAGCACTAATGAAAATTGTAAAGCTCCATATTTCATATTGTAAAACTAATGATATACAGGATGTTTTCAACGTGATGAAAGTTTGTCGTCTGGGTAGTACTCGTTAATCTTTGGCAGCTATTATGCTAAGAAATTATTATTTGACTTACTTAATTTAGTACCATAACTGTGTCCACAATCCCTTTATCTATAAAATTTCATGAACCAGAAATGGAAATTGAGCACATGATAATAAATTATTCTCCACATCTTTAAATTACTGTTACAATCTAATTACTTCTTCACTTCGTAAGTGCACAAACACATTTTTTGTCAATTCACACCGAAAAATTTGAACAACTAAATAACTATGTTGTGCAAATGCACTAAACGTAATCTTCACTAGCTTATTCATCTTCAAGTTAAAAAAATAGCCCAGAGAATAATAAATTGAATAATATCAACGTGTTCAATTTTACTGATACAGATAAGCACCCTCCAATTTGAGTAGTGGAGCGTCTTTTTTCACTTAAGTACGTGTCCAAATAAGTAGGCGCTAATATTTTAATCTATCTCTACAGTCCAGTTTGCCCACAACACCTTCCAGTGCACAAGCTGGATAGAGATAGTAAACATAGGCATCCTCGAGGACAACGGTCAAAACTTGGTCCATCAATGTAAAGTACAATTTGTGATGAATAAGTATCTACAAATGCATGTGCAATTTGCAACGGCCTTGTTTGACTTCATCTGTTTATCCATTCGTTCGCCCTCCCTCCAGATTCGTCAAGGTCAATGAAAATGCTCACCGCCTGCAAGCCGCGTGCGACATTCATAATGAAGCTTGACAACGTTATTTGCTTGTTTGACATGAGTTACCAACAGTTTAAACTCTTACCCAGCATTAAGTATTGAGCGTCCTTCGTTGCAACTATTTGCGTAGAAGATTCATGTACATCAAATCTCACCATTACAAGATAAAATCCTGAAGTTCATTCGGGTGAGGTAGTAATACAGTACCTTGCCTATACGGGGTCGTTCTTTGGTCTTCTCAAGACTACTGCGGACGAGACCGACAGCTCCCCAGCATCTCAAATTGTTGGCAACATCATCTAAACGCAGCAGGTATTCCTCCTCTGTTAAAGGAAAGGAACGCTGAGGAGAAAAACAGAAGTAAGTACAACAATGGAACGACCCTGCGGTGATTTCAAATTACACCTTCCTCGTGAAAGTTGATAAACAACATGAAACTTAACATTTAAAACTTATGCTAGATTGAAAGCTATTTGGGGCGGATGATCCAATGCGCTTCACCTGCTCACGATACTTCCACATCACATTCATGGCCAAGAGCTGGCGACCCATAAATTCCTGCATTATAGCCAGAGTGGAGCTCAGATGTTATGAATTGCTGCAATCAGAGGCAGAACATCTCAACAGAATTGTGCCTTCCTGTATGAAACAGTTAATCTTTACTTGTCAAAACGTAGGTAATGAACTTACTTTCTTCACAAATTGCACATCATAAGATTTCCCGTACTTCTTTCTTATTAGTGTCGCCAAATCAATTCCTCGAAAAGAAGCGTCGTCATTGGCACTGTTTACCATGCGTTGCATCTGTTGCCGAAAAGCCTCTGAACTCACCTAAATGAAACGAAAACATCACGTGAAACACAACTTCTATTCTTCGCTATCTATTAATGAACGATTGCAGCACGCCTGTAGTAGAAGCCAATGGATGAAGAAAGACGAAAGACATGTCTTGACTTAAAACTGACCATGATTTTTGGCTGTTGCATAATATGCTGTATGCAGTGTAAAGCAAAGACACAACCCATATGATATTGAGTAAACTTTAAAGAACAAGCTCGCTAATCACGATCATCGCCAAAAAGTAGTATCTAATACAAACAACAGTGCGACAATCCAAGTACCAGCAAGGACATCTGCAAAGTTAACGTAAAGTTGGGTAATCAATCTTAGAAAGAAAGAGATACTTTAGCCGAGTCGTTATCACTTGAACCATCATCGGCGTCACCAGCGTCATCGGCTTCATTCTCGTCCTTGGGAGCTTTCCTTCCGAATAGAGCCTGGCATGGAAGGGGTCCTGTCTTCCCTTCCTGATTTTGCCAACTTCGCGCATGGAGTTGTCGAAGCGATCTCTTTGATCCTAACCAAGCATTAGATAATGATACATTTTTCAATGCAGATCTTCCCTGGTTCACATCGCCGCAATGTCCAAAAACTTCAGACCTGTAGGAAGTGATAAAGAGTTTGCAAGACACAGACAAGGAAGTTGCCATCTGTTCTATCACCCCGTGGAGCAAATGGATTAACTGCCAAACAAGTAAAGAAAATGAGATTTACCGCACTGCTTCCAATCCAGAAATCCATCCCAACACGGCAGTTCAACGCAGACAAGGAAATGGACAACTAGACAGACTCAGTACTTAGCCTTTCGGAGCACCTCACTCCTCGGTAGATCGATTACACTTAAACCGAATGTCAAGAATTCTGTCCCTGAGTATGACTGTGCGCCAACTTAACAACAGTGCTAGAAGGTAATCGTCATGCAGTGATCCCTAGTGAGATAAATCCAATTCACTGCTGTCACGAAAGCTCAATTCATACATCCATTGTAAAACACCGATACCGATCGTCCACCTTTCTTATCTAAAAACTCTGATTAGCCACAACTTCTCCAGCCAGGGAGGATTCCGCGACTCAATTTCAAAAATCAACCACATTCTAATCGAGCAGCAGCCAACAGCTTACAATTCTAGACCTCGTAGGTCCTAAACCTAAAATCCTAGGATACAAAATCCATGATTCACATCTAACCATGGCCAATTGCGGAATGAGAAACGATGCGGAGGGTCACTCCGGACTCTTTCACACGAGAAGAGAACCAACTCACAACACTCACTCCCTCTTGGACGAAAAGTCCATCTCTCCCGTCTCGTGCCACGCAATCAACGGACCAGACTTCAGCTGAAGATCCTCCAGCACGGCCATCACGCTACGAAACCTCACGAAGAGCAAAACAAACAAACAAACAAACAGGGGGAGAGAGAGAGAGAGAGAGAGAGAGAGGAGCAACAACAACAACAAGGAGGAGGGGGGGAACTGACCTCCTCATGAGCAGAGACGAGGGGGTGCAGTGCGAGATGGCTGCAATGCGAGGTGGGGGATGGCGAAGGGGAGTGTTTGTTCCACGGCCATGGGGGTGAGGAGGAGGGATGGTCACTCACGGCGGGCGAGTGGCGTGGGCTCCTCCTCCTTCTCCGCGGACCCTCCCTCCCTGAGAGCGTGGCCACACGGGACCTCGGGATGAAGCACGAACACCTCTCATTGCTGGAGCATTTCTCTTCCCTGCATCACTCCCCACGCACCCGAACCAGATTGAGACGTGGAGGTAGAAAGAGAGAACGGAGAACGAACGCTAAAGAGATAGAGAGAGAAACCAGATAAAGATAGAAAGATGGAGTTGGTGTCCTTCCCCGTCTTGGAGTCATGCCGGAGAGAACTTTTCCTTGTGATAATTATTCAAACTTCTACAAATGATGATGATAATATTAATAATACTATGGTTATAGGGGAAAATCTTCATGGTTTTATGCTATATGGTACTTTGTGGAAATTTTGAATCAAATATGATTTTGAGACAAATGTTTCCAAGATCATCTTTGATTAAGATTAATTCTTGATCAATTTTTTAAAAATTTTAATAAATTTTTATTTGTGCATACTTTAAATTTTGGGATATTTTCAATGCTAATATTCATGAATGTTTGTTTCCAAAAAATTAAAATACAAAAGATTTACATCCATTTTAATTTAGTTGTTTATAGTGGTTATTTTAAATATATAAAAGTATTACTATATAATGTAATGAATCATGTATATTTTAAATTATATATATATTAATTAAATTTTTAATCTTATTTTTTGGTTTTAAAATTATATGTTTTGTATATATATATATAAGCATTGGAGCTCTTACTTTGCATTGAATAAAGAAAAATATAAAATTTTTATTGTCATACAATTATAAAAATATCAATATTTTAATATTTCATTATAAATAATATTTTTAATATATTTAAAGAATTAATGTTATTAGAAAGTAGTGTAATGCTATGTTTGGATTCAATGCACAACAAATGCAATATATAATTGCCCATGAAAGAATATAAGTTTTGGCAAATAAAATTCCAAGAAATAGATTGTTTGACCTTGGGATTTGTTGATTATCAGGAAAAAAAAAAAAAAAAAAAAAAAAAAAAAATTATAGACTCTCTTTGCCTTAATATATAAAGAAGTTTGAAATTACTTGTTTCAAAGTTTATTTGGAGAATAAAGACTTTTTTACTTGCTTTAATACCAATTACAACTTTAGCAATGATGATACATGGAATAAAGATATCCACAATAAGTTGTATTCTATTGCAAATTCTTCTTGTCATGTTTCATAACACAATTACGTGGAATTCCAACCTTCAACTTTGGTGAATGAAATAACAATTCATTTATAGAAAGACTATTGAAAAACTCAACAATATAAATTGTATGATTGCCAATATTATCAAGGAATTTTGAATATATAGAAAAAATTCTATTTCTTTATTGAATTTTTTTTGTAAGATTTGAAGATTAAGCGCATTGATAAATGAGTTTATAGTAGATAAAATTGTGCAATTTTTTATGTGATTATTGGCATTGTCAAAAATATTGTTATAGACCTTTTGAATAAATTCATCAATAATTTTACAAATAATATTTTTTTTAGAAATATAGATTATAATTTCTTCTTTATTATGATAAATAATATATATATATATATATATATATATTACTAATGTAAAGTAAATACTCTATAAAAGATATTTTTAATTATTATTTTTGTCCATTAGCTTGGCACAATCATATATTAGTTATAAGTTATATTTTTTGTACATATAACCATAAGTAAGAAAACTTTAAGCTTGTATTAATAATTTGTGTTCTTGTTCCATAATAAAAAAAAAAACAAGCAAAATTTGTCAAAATTCCTTGTCCAATACAAAAAGATTTTCACCAAATAATTGATCAACAATAATTATATCTTATTGCAACTTTTCTACAACTTCAAAGGCCATCTTATTGGTTATTGGAGCTTCATTCTATATGAATATTTTAGCAATCTTAATCAATCTTTTTAATTTTGATTTTTTTGTAATGTTATAATTTGCATAGTTATTAAGATTAAACGAGTTATTTTTCCATGTCGAAGTAGCAATGCTATAATGCTAGAAGAAACAACAACTATAGCAATTTATTATTTTTTTTTTTATAATAGGCCAACAAAAGCTTCTAGATAAAAGTTTTTCTTGTATAGCCAAGGCTATAAATTAAAAAAAAAAAAAAATCTTTCATTACAAACTTCATTGCTCTTAGTAGCAATAACTACATTATACAAAACTTATTGCTCATTATTTAGTAATAAAATTCTATTTAGAATAATGTTCATCTCAATAAGGTCATATGACATATGGCAAACAATTGGCCACCTTAAGCAAGTGTGAATTATTTGGCAATCTTCTCATTTAAATTAAATGGACCTAAAAACTCAATTAAATATTTTTAATTTTTAAAAAGATATGATTAAATATCCAACATATTTTTTATAATAGAAATAGAATGATTAGCAGCAACAACACCTCATTGTAAATATAAATCACAAAAAATCTTTGGTCATAGGGAAGATATTTGTATTTCATAAATTTTTAATATTTGAAGGTTTTTTAAAAAGAAAAATTTAGATGAACAATAATTTGAATGTAATTGGCATTTGTATTTTTTAACATCATTCATTGCATAAAGCCACTTAGTATTATCTATCAAATATCTAAAGGCACTAGCTACATCTCAAAATGAAAGATAAAATAAATGATGAAATTTTTGGAGATGTATAAAAGAATGAAGATCTTAAATATAGAGCAAGAATAAGTACATGTAGTATCGTTTGTCTTGAAACAAATTGCAACTATATACTTATCCAACAACTTTGGCTCAACTATAGATTATTTTGTACTAGTGTTTTTCTTTCTATGTATAGTATTTTGAAATTTTTTGTATAAAATATTTTTTGGTTACATCATTTTTTGCACATATTATAATTTTTTTGTTAATATTATCTATGTTTGTCTAGCAAGCATATCATCTAACTTTCCATCAAGTTTATAATATACAATATATAGATTTGACAGAAAGACTTTTAACCATTGAATATTGTGGCTTTTATATTGAAGCTTAAAATTTAAAAAAATTCTAATATATTTTTAGTGATAAAACATAGAAAACATCTAAATATTGCTAAATCTTATTTGAGGCTTCTACATTTCCATCTTTATGTAAAGGAATTAATAATGAAACAACTATAGAGCTAGGTTCATTGTAATCTTATTTCTAAATGTATTTTATAAAAATTATTGTAGAGGTGTCATAGATATACATGTTTATTCCAAAAATTATCTATATGATTAAGTAGAAGTATGTAAAAGAAGATTAATTTCATAATATCTTCTAGAGAATCTTCTTAGAAGCTTTATAGATGCTACTTTGACTTTATATGTATTTATAATTAATTTGAAGGCTAAAAACTTAGTCAACAAGTTAGTCACATATCATATGTGTTAATAGCTTGTGAAACAAGCTAATTATATGACCGACATATAGATAACTTTCTTTATAAGTTAAGACATGTAACTAGTAAAATCAACACGTGTTAGAGATCTTATAGCATATCACCATGTAGCTCTTAGTTAAAGAATATATATGGAAGCAAGAGTGAAGCCTTCTTCACTCTTGTCAATGTCTTTCTAATCCTTAGTCTTATTTCAAGACTTTCTAGTCTTCTTGACTTTATCAATCTGATATATTATCATCTTTGAGTGATTTTTTAGTCTTTTTGAGTAACACAAGAGTGTATTGAGATTTTATTTCTTTAAAATTCATATCTTTTGATAATTTGACAAGAGTACTAATTCATTATTTTTGACTTGTTTTAAAAGTAAGTGGATTATTCTACTTCTATTGTTGTATTTTTAAGGTTATAGATTATCCACCTTTAAACAAACTATTTTATTTTCTAACATTGATTTTTTTTTTTTTTTTTTTTTTTAAAGTGAGTGGATTAGCCTTCTTTGTAGAACTTATCATTTGATATTAGAGGTTGCAGATTACTTTCCTCTAATTTGACTTATAGATTTATTAAGTAGTTTGAAATCAAAGGAAAAAAATCATAGATGCTATACTTGGCAAAAGTGAGAATCGATTTACAACTATTTTATATTTCCACAAACTTGTCAAGACTCTTAAGATAGAAATTTTATGTATCACTAGTACCAACCATGGAAACATTAATCCTATGTCTATAAAAGAAGTTTAGAATCTATATCAAGAAGTTGTACAATTAAAAGAAGCAAGTAGATCAACCTCACAACCAAATCCAAAAAGTTTTATATTTGCAAGTACGATGGAGACAAGTATTAGTATGCCTAAAAAGTTTGATGGGAGAAGATCAAAGTTTTAAAGAATTCTATAATAAGTCAAGTTTTATCTAAGCTTGCATCTCTTCCAATATCCTAATGGATTTACTCAAGTTAGATTTAAAGGCACATTTCTATCTGAAAGTATTCTTTTGTGGTTTGTACCTTTGATGGAAAAAGATTTACAACTCCTTTATGATTTGAATTAATTATTAGAAGTATTTATACCTATATTTGAAGAAAGCAATAAAAAAAAAGTAGAAAAAATTAAGCTCTTATTTTTACAATAAAGATCATAGTCAGCCACCATATATGCTGCTAAATTCTAAAACATCACTTGTAATGTGGATTGGAATGACAAAGCCCTTATCAATTAATTTTGATATGGATTGAAGAATAATTTCAAAGATTTGTTATTGGCAATGCCAAAAGCAAAATCTTTGAAATAATTTATTGCTTAAGCCATTGCTTGTGACGATAAATTATTGGAAAGGCATTAAGAACAAAGGCTTAGTTGGAGAGAAATAAGTCAAGTCATAATGGCAACTTCCAATTTTTCATAAACTTATTCATCAAAGCCAAAACTAATACAAATTGATATAGTACATTTTAATTTCATCACAGAGCAAGAAAAGACTCAACATCATCAAGAGGATTTGTGCTTATATTATGAAGAAGCTAAGTACATTGCTCAACATTGTTCAAAAAAATAATTCAATCACAAAATAAAAAGCACAATTGCTAAAAAAGACAATGTATCAAAAAATAAGTTTTTTCAGCTACAATAAAGATCATGTAATTGGAATCATACATAATATCTAATAAAGGCCTTATTTTGTCTTC